TCCCTTCTCCCCCTCCCCCAACCCCAATTACCCAACGTTTTCAAGACTCTATTTTGTTCAAGAATTTAGTTATTCTTTTAAAAATTTACACAAACTAAAGTGACTAACACTACTAGAAAATCAAGAATTTCCGACTGAAAATTTTTGTCGGAAATTTCCGATGGAATCCGTTGGAATTGTAAAAAAATATCACCTATATATTTTTAAAAACAATTCGACCACATTTCCGACCAAATCGGTCGAAAAAATTTGTTTGACTTGTTTGACTTTAATTTTGACCGATTTGGTCGATACTTTTAAAAAGAAAATGACAATTCCGACCGTATTTTCTTCCTCCTTCTCTCATCCTCCTCCTCTCTCCCTCTCGTCCTTCTCCCCTAATTTAAATGTATTTTCGCTCGCTCGCTCTCTCTCTCTCTCTCTCTCTCTCACATTTCCTCCTTCCTTCTCCCTCTCCTTCCTCCTCCCTTTTCCCACTTAATTTATTTATTTATTTTACCCTTTTTTCAGCAGTGGCGCGGCGGCGACAACGGCTCAGTTGACTTCTCCGGCATTTTTTCCATCGAGGCAAGTACTTCGTTGACATATATATCTTATTTTCATTGTTAAATTTGCAATAATTTTCTATATATGAATATCCTAGCTAGTTGAAGTAGGTATGGTTAAAATTTTAGGGATTTTAATTTTTTAATGATACATAATATAAATAATAATAAAAAAAGAATATGTTGAATTAGGTATGGTTGAAATTATGGGTTAAACAAGAGTATGCTAAGAAATCCTAAATCTAATTTTGAATTTTTTAAGAATATGTTGAATTCGTGTTTGATTAACTTAATTATTTTCGAAATAAAAAAGGTGACTTGTTGGCATAAATTAATTGAGAAAACAATGATAGGAAAGAAGAAAAACGAACTTTCACTTTCACTTCCAACGGTAATTATATTAACTAGTTATAGTTTAAAACTTTGGTGTAAAGTTTGTTGTACTAGGTTCATTATTTCTTGTTAGTTTTATTATTAGAATGATATTAAATTTAAATTTTTTCAATTTCAACATTAAGATTAATTTGTAAATTTGAGAAATTATTAGTTAATTGGATTATATGAACATTTAAGAAGCTATTCAAATTTAATTATTATAGTTAACGACTTATATTATTTAGAATAGGGATTAATGTGAGATTTCGAGTGTTAAAAAATATTAATTTAAAAAATAAAATATATCAATTAAAGTGCTTTGACACAATGATATGTATATATCTAAAACGAACCTTTGAAAGAGTATAACTTTGTTACCAGTTTAAATGAATCAGATTGTTTTAAATATCTCATTTCTAGATTTCTATTTGTGTAGATGGAATTTGTGCATCGTAGATGGATGTATAATAAAAATCATCCTAATCGTGCGGGCTTGAGGGATGAATTTATTGAAGGGGTTGCTGAAATTATTGCTAAGGCTCAAGCACTTGATTATTTTCTTATTGGAGGAAGGATTAGGTGCCCTTGTGTGAAATGTAAGTGTGTTAAGTTATTGAAAACAGACGAAGTTAAAGTTCATCTCTACAAGAAAGGGTTTGTAGAAAATTATTATATATGGACTGTTCACGGGGAAAATCATGCTAGTTTAGATGATGTTAACTTTCATAATTCTTTTGGTGGTGAGGGTAGCCCCATTGCGGAGCATAATGTTAAAAATTCTCGATACAATAAAATAATGAGGGATGCTTTTGGGATGTTTTCTGGGGTTCAATCCGAACCAAATGATGAGGCTAAGCGTTTCTATGAATAGTTAGAGGAAGCTAGTCATCCATTGTATGAAGGCTCGGTGCATTCCAAGTTGTCTGTTGCAGTTAGATTGCTAAGTATTAAATCGGATAGTTCTATTTTCCAAGCGGGTATGGATTCTATTATTGAGCTTATGAATGAACTTAATCCAATAACATTGATTTACCAAAAGATTTCTACACTGCTAAAAAATTAGTTTCTAAGTTGGATCTTTCATCAGAGAGAATTGATTGTTGTGAGAAAGGTTGCATGTTATTCTATAAGGATGGCATATCTCTAGAGAACTGTAAATTTTGTAATCAGCCTCGTTTTAAGGAAGTCACAAATGCCAATACAAAAAAGAAAGTTATAGTTAAAGCGATGCATTACTTACCTTTATACGTAGGTTAAAGAGGTTGTATGCATCAATAAGCTCTGCTCCTCATATGAGGTGGCACTATGAACATAGAAGGCCACTCGGTATTCTATGCCATCCGTCAGATGGAGAAGCGTGAAAGCACTTTGATAGGGTGTTCCCCGAGTTTGCTAGTGAACCAAAAAATATTAGGTTGGGATTATGCACAGATGGATTTACTCCATTTGTTGTCTCTGTTGCACCATATTCGTGTTGGCCAGTGTTTGTTATCCCGTATAATCTTTCGCCCGAGTTGTGTATGACAAGTCCATATCTGTTCTTAACTTGTATTGTTCCAAGTCCACACAATCTGAAAAGTTTGATTGATGTATACTTGCAGCCTTTGATTGATGAGTTACAATTATTATGGCATCAAGGTGTGGAAACATATGGTATATCAACTAAACAAAACTTCAGATTGCATGTTGCTTTGATGTGGACTATAAATAATTTTTCTGTTTATGGAATCTTGTCCGGGTGGTCGACTGCTGGAAAGTTAGCTTGCCCTTGTTGTATGGAAGACATAAAAATATTTACTTTGAAACATAGAGATAAAAATA